TAGGTACTATTGCATAGAAGATTATCCAGTATTAGTTTAAGACAAAGACAAGGAGCTGAGGCACCCACTTTTTTACCTGACAATAACAATAAAGAGATGGTTATCTTCCTGGGACATATACAGGATGTGAAAGAGGACCTCTCAAAACCCATGAGACTATATGACTACTATACATTTCTGGCTATTCATTTGAGTACAAATAATACTGGAAAAAAATAAAACTAGGAAGCATCATCAAGACACTGATGATTTTAGGGGGGCAAGGGTAGTAATTTAATCATTGCTGCAAAATCGAAGTCAAAGGCTTCAGAAGGGAAAATTTGTAATATGGACAACTGGTTAAAGAAGTATCTAAGAATGAGATTCGAATCTTTGAGCCATTTGGCAAAGGATGGAGTGCACCTAATTCTAGTGAGATCATATTTGTCTGCAGCCTTGTAGGTACAGTTGAAAGGTTTTTAGCTGAAAAACAAAGAGGACAGAAAAAAAAAATCTGCTCCCCCCACGTTATATACATATATATATATATATATATATATATATATAATATTATGTATTATTTTATATGTATATTATACATATATACACATACACATGGATGGAAGAATGGATACATATACATATATACATACACACATACTTACGTATATAGGACCTCTTTTTTCTTGGGTTTTGGCTCCTGTAAATTTCCAATCTTCTTTACTTCCAGTCTTCCGTAACTCATAGCCTTAGAGAGTTTTCCACGGTGTGAAGAAGTTACATGACTTGTCTATGATTATACATACAACCTGTAGGTGTCAGAGGTAGGACTCAAACTCATGTCTTCTTGACTCCACAATTATGGCCACCATGCTATGCTGCATCTCACATTTGTAGTATATGATACATACACATATATCAAGGTGCAGGGTGATTGACTAAATCAATCAAGTTACCCTGCCCCCACAATAATGTAAGTGATAATATGTTTAATCAATGAATGAATCTCAATCAAAAACTTTAGACCAAGTGTGAAAAATCTTTGAAAACCATTGGATGAAGTGAAATGATGCAAGATCTGAAGTCTTCCAATTGGAAGTAAGAGGTTGTCATGCCTTCTTGTTGTTGTTGTTGTCGTCATGCCTTCTGGGTCCTGTATAAAAGCATTGAGTTATCTCAAATTTATTAATTCCTAGTCCTTGCAAGTTTTGAAGAGTCTAGAGGAGAAGTATCTAATATTTTAGGACAGGAAAGGGAAGGGAATGAGGAAAGGGAGGGAATAAGCATTTCTTTAGTGCTTTCTATGTGCCAGACACTGTGCTTTACAAATATTATCTCATTTGATCCTCACATCAGCCCTGTGAGGTTGGTGTTATTATTATTATCTTCATTTTACAGTTGAGGAAACTGAGACAGATAGAGGTTATGTGACTTGCCCTGGATCATGAAGCTAGGAAGTGCCTGAGGCTGGACTTGAATCTAGCTGACTCTGGATCCAGCTCTCTATCCATTGCACCACCTAGTCTGTATCTACAAAGATTTTAACAGGCTAGAATACTGGGGCATATATAACATGAAGGAACTTTTAAAGGATAAAGGTTAAATCTTAAGTTTTTAAAAAAACAGCTTTACAAGGATAAGATAGAAAAATTATATCTAGAAAGTAGTTTATCTGAAAAAGCTTAGGACTTTTAATAGGCTGCAAACCCAATATGAGGTAACAGTTTAATGGAATGGGATGGAATAGCCTTTGTGAAACTAAGTGTTGGTGATACAAATAGAAATTTGAGAGTCTCTGCTCTCAAAGAACACAAGTTCTACTTTGGGGAGACAACACAGAGAGGAGGGCTCTTGTTCACATTCAGTTCATGGCAGATGGAAGAGCCAGGTGATTCTCAGCTTCTGGCAGGACAAGTAATAGTTTCTGAGAGTCATCTACATAGAGGAGGTAAATGGACCATGAGAGCTAATAAGGACAATGAGAGAGAGACCGTGGAGAGAGAAGATGGCCTAGGACAGCGCTTTAGGGGACTCCCATATTGCTATTCAGCAGAGAAGATATGGACTTTAACAATTCTGTGCCAAGGAGGTTACATGCACTTATTCAACTAGAAGTGCCAAGGAAGTTCCAAACTTTCTATAGTTCTCAGAGAGTGGACCTCTTTCTGTAGGACAGTGATAACATTACATAGTGGGGCAAGGCTACTGTGGCACAATGATAAGAGTGATTAGATTAGATACCTGAAGTTAGGAATGCCTGAGTTCAAATCCAGCCTCAGAAACTTACTAGTAGTGTGATTCTGGGCAAGTCATTTGCACTCTGTGCCTCTGTTTACTCGTGAAAAATAGAGATAATAATAGCATCTACCTCCCAGGATTATTGGGAGGCTATAATGGCATAATATTTGTGAAGTTCTTTGCAAACCTTAAAGCACTATATAAATGCTAGCTATCATTATTATTATGACAATCAAACAAACATGATCTGGGAATGCAATTAAGAGGCATTAAGAGCAGTCAGGTGCAAAGACCTGATAGTCCTCCTATACTTAGCTTGGCCAGGCCACATCTGAAGTCATATGTTCAGTTCAGGGTATTATCATTATTATTATTATTATTCGTCACCTTTTGGTGAGGCAATTGGGGTTAAGTGACTTGCCCAGGGTCACACAGCTAGTAAGTGTCAGGTATCTGAGGTTGGATTTGAACTCAGGTCCTCCCTACTCCAAGGCCAGAGCTCTATCCACTGCACCACCTAGCTGCCCCTCAGGGTATTAATTTTGAGAAATGCAACACGCTTCTTACTCTGTCTGCCCCTCCTCTGCTGCTCAGAGGCATAGGGTTTGGGTTCTAGTGAACTAACAGGTGCAATGCAGAAGGACAAAGTCAGACAGGATACTAATATAAAATGGAAGCACTGATTCTTGCCAGGGCTGGCTGCTGAATCCACTCACTTTGCTATGTGATGCCAAGGCCAGAAGCATTCAAAAGTCCTCACCAATGACAACATAGCTGGAATCTGGGGAAGAAACAATTCTCCTAAGAGTCATTCCCCATCAGTTGCACATTCCTCTACTGTGAATCCAAGGTGCCAGCTTACTCCAGGACTTCTGTCTTTATAACTGATGGTCAGCCCTTTGGAAGTATGAAGTAAATATCTTGTGGAAACTTATTCAGACTACATTACCACTCACAGTCATAGAGAATGAAATAAAATCAAGCTATAGACATCTTAGAAGTTTTAGGTTCAGATTTAAACCCATATCTTAGAGTTTAGAAGAGCAGTGGGTTCATAGGCTCTTGGGAGTTGTTGCATTGTTTTTATTACACATTTTCCTTGTTATTAAGTACTGTAATTTTGCTTATTGAGTCTATGCTAAGACTAAAAACCAGCTTTATACTGTAAGCATGCATGTGTGTTCTACCCATTTTTAGAACTCCAATTCAAACCTCCCTAGGTTTCGCCACGGCACCCCCAGCCACCTAGAAAGTTGGCTACCTTGCTTAATCTACTACCAGATCTGGTTCTATATTCACATCAACTGAGGCAGACTCCAAAATACTATAGAAAGTGTGTCTAGAGAAGTCATAGGAGATCTGTGGAAAATGGTAAGAATATTGGAATCTGGAGTTAAGAAATAAGGGTTTGAATCCCCATTCTGCCACTTACTGGGCAAGTCATTTCTTTTCTCTGAGCTTTAGTTTCCTTATAGGAGAAATGGTGGGATTGGGCTAAATGATCCCCCAATGAATTTCCAACTTATTTGGGTCTTTTTTTCCCCCCACTTATTCAGTGCCTGCCACACATTAGGTACTCAGGCTTGCACATAAATGGACAAATTGACACTTGGAGGCAGATGCTTAAATCTCCAGGAAAATCATGGCAGCTGGGAAAGTGAAGAGGATATAAGAAAAGGAAGGAAAAACTCATTTTAATGGGGTAGAGTTATATGGAGCAAAACCCTCTTTCAAGGTCTTCCTTCATGAGTAAGTCAATTCAAGTGACTCTTATGGAAACTAACGTCCAATATGAATTTGAAGCTGATCCCACAGAGCATTTTCTTTAAGTTTCCAGAGAGTGAATGTACACACAACCGAGAAGCTCTTGTGTTTTGTTTTGTTGGATTTGGGGTTCTTTTGCTTTTAATAAGGTGAAGCAGCTTCCTGGCATGGTGCTTTCAAGGTCTCTCTGAAGAACTTTGGAACTTATTGTGTGACGTGAGAGACACTGGCACAGGACCGCCCAGCATGGCATGCCATTATCAAAGAAGGCGCTGTGCTCTATAAGCAGAACAGAACTGAAGTGGCTCACAAGAAAGGCAAGATGCACCCATTTAGAGAATCCACCCCAAATGTCCACATGGCCTATTTGTGCCTGGGCAATTAATCTGATCAGTCACTGTTGGACACACTGTAAAGTGACTCCAACATGGTGATGTCATTTTGGTCCTCTTCTAGAACAAAGGAAGCAGCTGATTTTCTATTGCTCTTTAAATCTCAAGGTTATCTAGGTTGGTCCTTTCTTCAAAACCTAAGGGTCAAGACATTTTGAACAAAGGATGCACTTTACTTCAGTCCATCTCACTTTCATCCATTTTTATTCAGTGCCCTCTAGACACAGTGGTACTATGCTAGGCACTAAGAGACAGGTCCGGTTAAAGGAAAACCAGTGCTGGTACAGATAACTTTCACTGGCAGCTTAACATCTGCTTAAGGGGAGAAACTAACCACAAACCAAATTCCTTATTCAAAAGCAACAGAACCCCCTCCAAGTGAGATATGTATATATATATATATATATATATATATATATATATATATATATATATATATATATATATATATATATGTATATATATATATATATGTATATATATGCACATATATACATACTTACATACCACTCTGCATTAATGTCTAGATATACCCACTTGATTGTATATGCATGCATATACAGGCATATGTGGATATATAAATTAATATATATGTTGCACACACACACCACAGATAGACAGATAATCTTGGTTAAGCTATCAAAGACACTATGTCTCTGCGTTTTAATGTAAACAGTCTGCCCTAATTGCCAGCAGCATGCAAAACTTGGAAGAGCCAGAGATTCACAGTTAAAGAATACAACTGGTATCCATCTTCAGGGGGGCTTTTGTTGGAGCACCAGCATCTCTTCGCCAATATGACCTTTAGGTTGGACTTTCAGAGCTGAGCTGGGGGTTCTTTTGAATCTCCAACATAGAGTAAGGCTTGCCGGGAGCCCCTTGAGGTGACCAAACTTCTGGGCCGAGATAACACACTGAGGTCCACTTGCGTAATCCTGCAAACAGATTTCCTTGGTGGGCAAATGCAGCAGATCAAGATGAGACAGTGCTTCTTTTTTTTCTTTTTTTCTTTTTTTTTTTTTACTTTCTGCAAATTCCTTTGTGTGCTAACGCATCTTGTAGTCATTAGATACAGATGTTTCACACAGCTGTCCCTTAAAGTCCAAGTCCACTGTGAAATCAAGGTCCCGCTGCCAAAAGAAAGAGAGAGAGAGAGAGAGAGAGAGAGAGAAAGATGAAAGGTCAATTCACCTTCTGCCCTTCAGAATTCATCAAATCTCTTCTGCACAGATAGGTACTTAGCTTTCTTACTCTTACGGCCTTGTAGGGAAAGGAAACCATGGCAAACACCCAATAACCTAGCCCTGCATCTTACCATCCTCACAAGAGGTTTATTCCAAAGTCTTTAAACTAAATCTTCTCTGCTGAAATGCAAATTTTATTGACAAATAGTATGGCCTGGCATATGGAGCCCTGGATTTGGCTGTAAGTGAGCTGGGCTATGATGTGAACTCAGATGCTTATTAGCTCTTTGACCTTAGACAAGTCACTAACTTCTCTGAGCATCCATTTCCTCATCTGAGAAATGAAGGGAATAATACTTCCCTACCTATGTCACAAGGTTGTTTTGAAGTTCATACATGTGAAACACAAACAAGATCATATGAGCGAAAGGGCTTTGTAGACTGGAAGCATCACAAGACTGGGAGCTGTTATTTCCTGCAGTAGGTCAGTGGTTCCCTCCTACCTGCTGAGTAAAGTTCAAACTTCTCTCCTGGTATTCAAAGCCCTCTACAATTTAGCCCTAACCTGCTTTTCAAATCTTATCTGATCACAACTTCTTTCTATAGACTTTACACTCAGACCATATTGGACTAATCCCTGTTTCCTAAACTTTCTCACTTCTGAGCCTCTGTTCAGGGTTCTTGCCATGCTTGTGATCTCATTGGCTCCCATGAATTCTATTACTATCTCTATGCTGATGATTCTGAAATCTATTTATCCAGACACAGAGAGGAAGGCTAGAGGAAAAGACCAGAAAAGTCTCTGAAGAAAGGTGCTTATTCTCAAGGGCAAAAGTGCCCAAGCCCATTCCTCTACTTCCATCAGCTATATTCAAGGGGAATTTCTTGCGGATTCCCTCCATGTCTCTTTCGATTGTGCTCTAGGTACTTAAAAACTCCTGCTGGTGATTCACTCTCTGCAATGAGGCCTAGCATGGGGATCTTTGTTGAAGTCCCCCTGAAGGAGCTTTTCCATCTTTTCCTCAACCTCCAGACCAGAGAGCCTGTCTTATAAGTTCCCTGTCCTGCACTCACCACATTTTTTGCATTTGGTTTCATTGAAATGGTCCCGTAGATCTCCTCACCCCTCCTGACAGTGAGATAATCTTCTAAGTAGAAAACTGTCTGCTTCCAGTGGGTGTAAGGAGCATCAGGGGCTGTGAGATAAACAAGAGAAACAAGAATGTAGCATGAGAGAAGGGACCTGAAAGACAGACAGACTCAGATAGACAGGCAGACAGACATGCATGCGTGCGTGCGTGCACACACACACACACACACACACACACACACACACACACACACACCCCCTGTGGAAGAGTTTTAACCCAAGGCTCTTCCTGAACATATCCTGGCACTTAATACTGCCTTACCAACACTCTCTCCCATCCTAAGGGTAACCACTGCCTGTAGGATGGACTCTGGCAACCCAAAGCCCCTAGTCTGACACCTTAGTCAGCCCTGCCCACTACTAGCAATGCCTCATGCCAAAAAAGATGCCTTCTTTCCTATGGTACCCATCAGAATTCTTAATTCCATACCTTCAGAGCATCCCACTTAGGAATATGGAGGAAAGCAATCAGATTTACTTTATTCACACTGAATTGTGAATGGCTGTTAGCCCTCCTCCCCCCTTCCCCCTTCCTCCCCCTTCCTCCCCCTTCTTTTAAACTCTCCCGACATCTGCTTAACCCAAAATGGTATAATTGGTAGAATTTTAATTGAAATGATAAAGAGAAATGGAGAATTTCAGAAAGTGTGTAGGACAGGCTTGGGAGTAAGAGATCTTTCACATATATTCTTTATAATTCTTTAATGTATACCCCACAGGATAAATTCACATCTGAGTAAGAGTGGTCCTGATTTAATCCCCTAAAGCTACCTATCCTGCTGTGCCCATACACTGGAAAGAACATTGGATCAGAGGACCTAGATTAAAATTCCACTGCCCTTATCCTGTTGAAAGAATGTTGCATTGGAAATTAAAACCTCTATGTTGAATGAATGACTGAATTATAAGCAAATCTCACCTATAAGGTTTGGACTTCAAAACTGGAATAAAATTAGAATCTCAGCTCTGCCACTTACTGCCTATGTTACCCTATAAATGTTACTTAGACTATCTCTATGCTCATTGGCCAGGGGTCCTCAAACTTGCAGATATTTGAATAAAATGGCAGTTGGGGAAAAAGTGCTTCAATTGGATTAAACAACCTAAGAGAACCTCTTAACCTTTGTGAGTTGGAATTTTTAAAAATATATTTTGATAATTTTATTTCCATTTAACTTGTCTCTTTCTTTTTTTAATCTTATGTATTTTATCTAATGCGTTTAAAAACAATGTTCTGAGAAGGAGGCCATAGGCTTAAGCAGTTTGCTGAAGCACTCTACAACAACAAAAAAAAAGTTTGAGAACCCCTGTTCAAAGATTTCTTTTAGTTAGAAATTTAACATCCAATAAATCACAGCAAGAGTTGTTAGGAGAGCAAATGAGATAGTAGACTAAATTGTCTGGAACCAGCCTTCCCAATCACAACTAACCTGTACTAGCCAGACTCATGACCAGCACTACTCCTGGGCCTTCATCCCAGCCTCTAACTTTTTTGACTATGTGAAAGAAAGTTTCCACCCTTACCACCTCCAACTCTGGCTCATAACTTACTTATTCCACACCACACAGTGATGACATTACCAATTTGACAACTCAATTGGAGACATTCGAGTCTATTATCTTGCTGTGATCAGACATCTGTTGGAGAGCTTGCCTTTTCACAGGACCACCTACATCAACATCATGCAGGGATTTGACTCAGTTCCTTGCACAAATGAATGCTAAATTCCAACAGGAACTTAATTAGATGGCTATTTTGGAGTCCAGACCTTATAGGCAAGACTTCCTTTTAATTCAGTTATTCATTCAACATTTATTAAATACTTACTGCTTAAAGGAAAGTGGATTTCTTGAAAAAGAGTTCTGGAAATCCAGGCTTTGCTAAGGCCCATTGGGATTCAAATGGAGCTACTTGAGTATGCCCTAAAACCAAATCACTCTGACTCTCACTGATAATAATAATAATGATCAGCCCAAGCCTTGACTGGTTATTGTTCAGGGTTTGACAGCTCAGAGTGAGTATAAATACCAATTGTTTATGTTCAGGGCCCCAGAACCCCTGAGGGTCTTCCCCTCCCAGATAGTTTTTTTTTAATAGGTAAAAGAGGCCATTTGGGGCTTCATTTCTTACCTAGCCTTAATCCCTGAAAGAGTGTTGCCTCAGACTAACTGAGACCTGGGAAAAACCTTAGCTTAAAAATGCCAAGGTCTCCCACTGCACCAGGGCCAACTCCAGTCATCCTGATCTATATCTTGCCACTTGACCTAGATGGCTCTGGAGGAGAGAGTGAAGCTGGTAACTTTGCACAGCTCTGCTTCACTCAAATCCAATTCATTTGCAAGTCAAGACATCACCTTCCTGATGTCATTAGTCCTCTTTGAGAATGAAGAAAATACAACAACAAATACCTACAATGTGCAAGGGTAGGTTTTGTAATAATATACACAGTGATAAAAGATTCCCTTCCTGTCCTCCAGGAGCTTAGATAAGATACCGATGTATCCATATTATTGGTTTCTCTACTTAAAGAATTCCGATTTCATAAATATGCTTATTTTTTTTTGCTGAGCAGATTCCAATGCCTCTAGTCTTCATGAACTGCTGTGGTCCAAAAATAAAATAAAATCATCCCCTAGTAGGGATTCATCTGTCGATGAGGCCTTTTCAGTATTTAATTAGGTTAGCCTTCAGACAGTCAAACACGAAGTCCTGGGCTTGCACTTGAAACCTGATCAGCTCTGCAGAGCTTGTGAAAGCATGTGTTCTGTGATTACCTTCACACCATGCTGAGCTATTGGAGGAAGACCTTGGTGGAAGTACACAGATGAGAACAAAATATATGTTGATAATCATTTAAGATCAATTGAGCCCCAATAAGGGCCAAAAACCTGAATTAATCTTTTTCTCTCTGAGTGAACTAAAAACACTCCTTCCTGTGTCAGCAAATTCCAGGACCAGATGGAACTGACCAGCATTCTTCCTGTTAGTTATCACTAAGCCCAGGATGCCTGGGACCAGACACTCTCTTGAATAATGGGACTCTTCTTATCTTGGTCTATAATTTCAATTGACACTTTTACATTCTCCTATTTTATTGTATTTACAACCTATTCAATTAAGAAAATTCCTTTCCTGTGCTATATGTTAAAAAAAAACATATAGAGGCTGTATTTTTTTGTAACACAGACATCCTGAGTCTGATCATTCTAAACTGTATAAAACCTCCCTCATTTTGCTTAATCTTGGAATCAGAATCACGTTCTGGCTTCCGAGTACATGACTCGATAGCTAAAAGGGAATAAACTGTATAATCATGTATCACCTAACTTGTTTGCCTTCTTTAACCGAACTTTCAGGTCGACAATGTAAAAGAGAATTGATTGTAAAACTCTATCAGATTAGATGAAGTGGCTCTTCTTTCTGAGATCAGGGAAGGCTTCATGGGTGAGGTGGCGTATACTGTATGTGATGCATCACTAGCTGTGGTGTAGCGGGGGAAGCACGGGAGCCAGAGCAGAAGGCTCTGGGTTCACATCCCAGCTCTGTTACTTTCTATCACCATGGCTGTCAATAAGTTATTTCCTTGCTCTGTAAAACAACAGAAATTCAGAATTTACAAGTTCAAGGGGCACTCAGGAGCCTTCCAATGGGACCCAGAGGGAGCTAAATGTTGCAGTGGATGGAGCATGGACCTGGAGTCAAGAAAACCTAATTCAAATGCTGAGTAGTTGGTTGATTCTGGGAAAGTCACATCCCATTCTATGCCTTTATTTCAAGGCAGCCCACTCCATTTTGGACACTTTTCTTGACATCCACCCAAAATTGGTCTCTGCAATTTCCACATTGTTCCCTGGTTCTGCTTTTCAAGGCCAAATAGAACAAATAAAATCACTCCTTTATATGACAGCCTTTCAAATACTTTAATATATATTCCCTATTGAATCTTCTCTTCTCCAGGCTAAACGCACTGAGTTTCTTCAACGTATCCTTATGTGACATGGATTCAAGGCCCTTCCCCACCTCTTCTGGACACTCTCCAGTTTATCAATGTCATTCTCAAACTGTGTCACCCAGAACCGAACACAATACTCCAGATGACACTGATAGGGTATGGCAGGAGTGTCACCTCCTGATTCCTGGGAGCTATGCCTCTCCTAATGTAGCCTGAGATAACATTAGTTGTTTGAGACCACCACCTCACACTGCTGACTCATTAAGCTTGCAGTGCACCAGGACGACCAGATCATTTTTAAAACAACTGCTGTCTAGCTATTCCTCCCTTATCTTGGAGTGGCGAAGTTGATTCTTGAAACCTAAGCATAAGAGTTTACATTTATTCCTTACACTAGATGCTTCATCTCTATCCATGACTTTGTAATGGTTGTCTCCCATGCCTAGAAGGCTCTCCCTCTTCACCTACACTTCTTAGAAGCCTTGGCTGTTCATTCTACCTCAGCAGCATCTTTCATATAAACCCCTTTCTCTCCTCTGACACCATCACTGCTTTGGTTCAGGCCCTTATCACCTCATGCCTTATGCTTTCTGATTGATCTCCCTGGCACAAGTCATGCCCCACTTCAATTTACTCAGCTATCAAAGTGATCTTTCTAAAGCATAGATCTAGCCATGTCTTGCCGTTGAACTCCAATGATCCTGGAGAAGAGAGTGAGGCTGATGATTTTGCACTTAAATCCAGTTCGCTTTCAAGCCAAGACATCAACCTCCTGATTTTATCGGTCATCTTTGAGAATGAAGTATGAACAACAATCTAATCGTATCAACCTGGCCCATGCCATTCAATAAACTCCAGTATTATCTCCAAGATCAAACATAAAACCCTCTGTTTGGCTTTTAAAATCCTTCATAACCTGGCTTTCTCCTATCTTACTCATCCCCATGTACTCTGTGTTCCAGTTGACGCTGGCCTCCTTGCTTCTTCCTGCCATAAGATAATCCATTTCCTGATTCTGGGCATACCCTGTGGCTGTCCATCAGGCCCGGAGCTCTCTTCCTCCTCATCCTCACCTCTGGCTTCTGTCAAGTCT